TCTTCTATAGGATATAATGAAACTAACTTTGTACACCAGTACAGGAACACACAATAAAAAACAATTAATAATACCACAAAATACTAGCATCGTTACTGTGTAACAAAACAAAACCTACTTTCAACTGTTTAGGTAAATTGTCTGCCACTCTTTCTAAAAGTGTTCGTGTAGGTTTTTCAGTACACATCACAACCAACTGGACGTTCAAGTGACCGGTCAAGAGCAGGCCTTTAGCCAGCACTCCAACTCTCATCACTCCTTTCAGTACTCTTGGAGGCTGCTGGTCTTCCTTGCTGTAATTTATAAGTTTCTTCTTTTAGGGAGATAATAATCAAATCTTTAACTTTTCTTCATGCAATTAAAATGTCAAGTTTCAGTACAAACAAAATCACTGAACGTGTACTTTTTTTTTACATAAAAATACTAGACATTATTGTTATACATTTCCACTACTCACTGGAAGAAATACAGATAATACAGCAAATTTAAACTTCATAAAAGTTGCTTTGGTTTTAATAACGAATTTTCCATAATTCAGTTGCACAGATTTCGAGAATAATATTAATTTTCTTCTATCACGTAAGGATTTTTTATAAATTGGGAAGAAAAAAAAACTTACTTAGATCAAATTATTATTTCATTTACCACAATGAACATTTTTTATTACTATGTTTATTGACAAAAATACAAACTGAATAAAAAAGGAAGAACATTGATGTCAAACGAATATGTATCCTCATTCATCCTGATTTTTTTTGGTGTTAAATCTGTTTTTTAGTCTCAAAACTACACGTTGTGGTCTTTCTTTTATGTATTGCATGATGACATTTTGTGAAAAATTACCGCAGAATATGTTAAAATTTCAAAACAATAAAACATCGCAGGCCTATGTAATTTAAATCTTTAAAAACAACAAGTTTCCAAATATTAAAGGATTTTAATTTTTGTACAAAGTCAACTTATTAAAAGGTCCCTTTATAACAATGTGGACTGGAGAATGATTCAAGGTAGCATACCTCAGTTCTGGATCTTCCTCCTTAATCGTGGGTTTGTCAACAACTTGTTTAGGCCTATCACTGAATAGAAACAGAGAAATATTTCTAGCATTTCTTAAGAGGGTATTGTTGTCAGAACAGCATTTGTTAAATGTTACATATTTTTATAAACATTTTCCAATCCTGTTTTTTAATTTTACATGGGCAAGTGATGTTATTCATTTAAAACAAAAAAATCCTGTCTGATCTTTCCCCTCAAATCACCAACAAAATGATCAAATTTAAGAGTTCTGATGTATACTTTACCAACATTTGTTTTCAGATAAAGTAATACAAAAATCCACACTAATTCTTTATATGATCTTCCAGCTTGTTTAAATAAAACGAGTCAATGGTCTCTGTAGATTCTTGTTGCCTACTTCTAGCTCAAATATTTAGTTGATGGTGTCAAAAATTGTGAAATTCAACTTATTACATTCTTTATTTTACAACCTCTAACCTTCTAAAGCAAACAAAAACTTTAAAGTATCATCTGAAAGCTGGGCTTGTTTACTTCCTCACAATCTATCTGTCAAAGATTTAAAACTATAGTTATTACAGCAGAAGTAAAACTATACCATAGAGTTTTTTATGCTACATGAAGATAATAATTATTGTTTGTCCTTTTTGATTTACAATGTTTCTACTGGAATCTGAAATTATTTTAAAAAAAGATTAGACTTTTGAGGAAATTTATCTCCTTAGTTTTATTTCCTTGGCAACATTTCAAGTAACTGCTCTTTTTCAAGCCACAAACAAACCTGTCAGTTAATGACAAACTCAGAAATAATGAGTGATATTAAATTTTAATTATTTTTTTTTTTATATAATTGTGTTTTTTAAAATATCAAGCTGTTTTACACTAAAGTGTTAAGACTACTCCACGACTGACTAGGTTTTTGATGCTAAACCAATCATTTAATGAATTAAAATAAATTATCTAAAACAAACAAATGAATGGCTACGAATTAAATTTTAAATGAATACTCCCTGAAAACATCTATAAAAACATTTCTACAAATCAAATATAAAGACGTAGAATTTTCTTTCAGAGCCTAAATATCATAATTATGTTAACAAGAAAGGTTATTTTACGTACCTTTCAGACAAAAAGTCAGAAACCAGTTTTAATGCTTTCTCCGTAGTTGTAACCAATTTCTGAACTGCACTCAATTCTTCTTCCTTTGGATAAATACTTGAATGTTTTGCTAAGACATGCTTGTCATCAGAAGAGTCTGGTCGCTTAGGAGGCACCTTAAGATTAACACAATACATAATGAATCACTTCATTCCTGTTATTAATAAAAAAAAACACAAGGAAAACTTGCATACCTTGGAGAGTTTTAATACAGTTAATATGCTTTCACAGTTTACAAAGGAGAGTTGTCCATAAACATTGAGCACAGCTCTCAGGAGAGTTGTCCATAAACATTGAGCACAGCTCTCAGGAGAGTTGTCCATAAACATTGAGCACAGCTCTCAGGAGTGTTGTCTGTAAACAGTGAGCACAGCTCTGAGGAGAAGTGCTTGTAAACAGTGAGCACAGCTCTGAGGAGTGTTGTCTGTAAACAGTGAGCACAGCTCTCAGGAGAATTGTCTGTAAACAGTGAGCTCAGCTCTCAGGAGAATTGTCAGAGCTGTGCTCACTGTTTAAAGACAACACTCCTCAGAGCTGTGCTCACTGTTTACAGACAACACTCCTCAGAGCTGTGATCAATACTCATACAATTAACACCATTCCCTGAGTTTTAAGGACAACTACCTTCCCACAACTGGCAGCAAAAGTTAGTAGGAGTTGAGATGTTGTGGGTATAAGCACTCAACTCCTGACCCTTAACTGGCTAATTTAAAACCAGCGTCTGGATTTTGTGTAATAGATGGAATATTCCCGAACGCACTTGGGTGCTATGACCTCAGAACACTATTCATTGTGACTAACTGTTCACAGCTAGGACTGATAATGAAAATAATTGTAAATTTTAGTTCTACTGTATTGTTTATTTTATATTAAGTTCATTATTGTTTTCCAGTGCAAATTTAACCACCTATTGCAGCTGATAATACAGGGTGTCCATAAAGTCTGGAATCAATGTAACATTATTTATTTGAAACATATTTTTATTAATTTTATATTTTATTCTTTTTGTTGCAGGTTTGTGTTGACCATATGTAAAAATCATGTCGTTAATGATATTGTAACTATATCTTTAAATAAAATATGTTTACACTGATTCCAGAGTTTATGGACACCCTGTATTAGAGTTATTTATATATATATTTCTTTAAACTATAAACATAATTTACCACAGGAAGAAACACAGAAGTAGGGAGACCAGTGATAAGTGATCGTGGTGGAAGAGGTGGTGGTGGAAGAGTGGACTGTGACTCCAGATTGTATCTTCTCTGCCACTCAAGGAAATTCATTTCTTCACCAAACCTTAGTCTGTCCTCCAACATCCTGAAATATTTCACTCATAATACATGAATGGAACTACTCACTCAATTCCTAGTACTTTCACATTTGTCTATTATTAGATATATCAATCAGTTACAACACCTTTAATACTTGTAACTGTTATTAGATATATCAATCAGTTACAACACCTTGAATACTTGTAACTAGTTATTAGATATATCAATCAGTTACAACACCTTGAATACTTGTAACTATTATTAGATATATCAATCAGTTACAACACCTTGAAAACTTGTAACTATTATTAGATATATCAATCAGTTACAACACCTTTAATACTTGTAACTATTATTAGATATATCAATCAGGTACAACACCTTGAAAACTTGTAACTGTTATTAGATATATCAGTCAGTTACAACTTTAATACTTGTAACTATTATTAGATATATCAGTCAGTTAAAACACCTTGAATACTTGTAACTATTATTAGATATATCAATCAGTTACAACACCTTGAATACTTGTAACTATTATTAGATATATCAATCAGTTACAACACCTTGAAAACTTGTAACTGTTATTAGATATATCAGTCAGTTACAACACCTTGAATACTTGTAACTGTTATTAGATATATCAATCAGTTACAACACCTTTAATACTTGTAACTATTATTAGATATATCAATCAGGTACAACACCTTGAAAACTTGTAACTGTTATTAGATATATCAGTCAGTTACAACACCTTTAATACTTGTAACTATTATCAGATATATCAGTCAGTTACAACACCTTTAATACTTGTAACTATTATCAGATATATCAATCAGTTACAACACCTTGAATACTTGTAACTATTAATTAGTTAATTGTAACACTGTTCTACTAATTTAAAGCTGGGTGTTCAAGAAGAAACATTAAGTTACCTGTAACACTGTTCTACTAATTTAAAGCTGGGTGTATAAGAAGAAACATTAAGTTAATTGTAACACTGTTCTACTAATTTAAAGCTGGGTGTATAAGAAGAAACATTAA